CCACAGTGGCGTTGGTCAAGAAGAAGGAGCTTTCAAGTAGGATGACTTGTTTATTTTATGCAGACAACTGTAGCGTGTTACCTAACATGGTTCTGGAACATGTTTTACCTTTTTTGAAGAATGTGTAGTTCTAATCTTTTGAAGTAGAAACATGGTCCATCTCAGACACTTCTGTAGACTTCTCTGTGGCCAGTTGAATAACTCAACTAGGAAGTCTTTATATTGTCCTGTGCGGACCCAAGAAACTAAGGGACTTAAAAAATACACTGGCCTAACAGTCATCTAATAAGATGACCCTTATCAAAGCAATTATTTTTGGGGAGTGATATTACTGTTGTCTATGGGATGGTTTTTCAAATTTTCATTAGAGGCCTCCACAAAGGTAAATGAGTTTTCATCCTTGTGATGTGCAACAGAGTTCTACACTCAGCTTTCTGTCAACATCTAAATCAGTATCAGGATAGGATTATTGTTTCCATTTTCATGTGGCCCTCTGGCTCAGGGAGAGTCTTGCTGTTTTTGCAGAAATTTAAATAACCAACACTCTTCCAAATGCAAAGAACTTCACAGAATTTCATTTTGTCTATTCCATTCCTACAAAACAACACTTTGAAAAATGATGAGGAGGAGTATAAGTTTCAATGTTGGTTCTCTGAACAACACCTTGGTGTTCTGAAAGATGTCTTCATTTTGCAGCTTACCTTCCTGAGCCTTGAAAGCTGGCAAAACAAAAACAAAAACAAAAACAAAAACAATTTTTTTTTTGATAGGACAGAAATTACTAAGAGGTTTTCCATATCTGACAATATTGTAGATGAGTTACTCCAGACAACCTACCCTGTGAAACAACTGAAAATGCTGGATAAGTTTTTTTAAAAAATCATTGAAAAATGCATTACTGAGCTGGCAATAAGGGACAGCCTCTACACAGAGGCCGAGCACCAAGCGAAAGCAGAAATGCGGGGATGTAAGCATACACTGAAGCTGGCTTTCACCCTGGGAGTAGGGGTTGACCCTGGGGACCAGAAACTTCTGCTCTGACAGCTGAGTGGGGTGCAGGGTCAAAAAAGATAAAAACAAGGGCCCACATTATAAAGGTCTACCAGAAATAAATCCACCTCTCAGATAGAGACAGCAAGGAAAAATGTTTCCAGCTTGGCTTTGCGTAGAAGGGAGACAAGTCTGACTCCAAACAATAGTAGCTGGAAGCTGACTCTTTTGCAGATTTGCTGCTCAAATTCACTCTACCTGTGTTGTCCTGCAAACTTCAAGCTAATAAGTTCTTTTGAAGTGTCATGGGTTGGTAATGCCCACTGCAGCCTAGAAGAAGCCAACAAAAATACTTGCTGGATAAGCCTAAAGGAATGACTTCCCAAAGCTCAAAGAATTTCTATAAGTAAAGCATGAACTTACAGACACACACACATGCACAAATACACACACACACACACACACACACACTACAAAGATAAGCTACCACATGCAACATACAAGAGCCAGCAGAAACAACACATAGCAACATCAAACTCCTAATAATTTTAGAGTTGGACAAAGACTACCAATTAAGTATGATTTAATTGTTTAAGGGTATAAAAAAGATTCAAAGTATAAATAAGAGACAATAAAATAATAGAAACAGGGAAAGGAAAGAAGTACTTATTTTATTAATAGAAATATAATAAAATATAAAGCTTAAAGGACTTACTACCAGCAGGATAGGCCCAATTTAAGAAAGAATTTGTGAACCAGAAAACAGATTTGAAGAAATATCACACAAAATGCAGCATGGAGAGACAGAGACTAAATAGGACGGGGTTGATAAGTGTCATGAAGAGTAGCAGGGGAAGACCTGATCTACATCTAATTGCAGTTTATTGGTAGAGAGAATGAAGGAGAGGACATTGACAGAGACAGTTTCTAAAACTGTTGCAAGATACCCATCTTCACATTCAGAAACCAAAGGAAGTATTGTGGTTATATATTAGCTGCTTAAAAATAATAACCATTGGTTGGGTAAGTACTATGTGCCAGGCACTGTGATGGCATTGAGCATGTGGAGCCATTTCACAGCCACAGGCTCAGGCTTGCAGAAATGCATCCTTACCTCTATAAAACTCAGTGCAATGGTCTGTCTCCAAGCCCTATTCTATCAGATGCAGATTCTTAATCCAGTAGTTTCCACGTGAACTCAGTCCGTTGCAGTGACTTCTAAGTCAATTCAGACTTGTAAGTGGGTCTCATCCATGTTGAAATGCCCCCCTGGCCTATTCCCTACCCTTCTCTCCTGGAGGTATCTGTAGGGAAGGAGCTTTCAGCTTCTGGGTCTAAGTCAGCAGATCTCAACCCTGGCTGCCTATTAACATCAACCAAGGTGATTTTAAAATATGACAAAGCCAAGACCTTCTCCCCGCATCTAGACATTCTGATCTCAAAGAGCTGGTTTGAGGCCCTGGCATTAGTATTTTTTTAATATTTTATTTATTTATTTGAGGTGGGGGGAGAGAGAAAGTCAGGCAGAGGGGCAGAGGGAGAAGGAGAAACAGAATCCCAAGCAGACTCCTCGCTGAGTGCATAGCCCAATGTGGGGCTCAATCCCACAACCCTGAGATCATGACCTAAGCGAAAATCAAGAGTTGGACGCTTAACCAGCTGAGCCACCCAGCTGCCCTGGCATCTGTATTTTTAAACATTCCACAAGGCTGGAAATCACAGATCTAAGCCCCACGTGGGCCTTAGGTTAACCTTATCTCATCTGATTTTCACCCCTGACTGAGCAGCAGTCTCCTCAAACTGTAACGTGTATACAAGCCCCTGGGATCATGTTAAATTGTGGATTCTGAACAGAAGGCCTGGGATGAGACCTCAGGTTTTGTATTTCTAGCACACGCCCACATGATGCTGACTTGCTAGTCTGTGGACCACACTGAACAAGTAGTAGGGGTGTACAGAACAAAATGGATTGGTGGTTCCCCACCTTGACCCCACATTGAAATTCTGTGGGTAGATGTAAAACATAGTAATGCCTGGATATCATCATCAGAGATGGTGATTAATTGGACAGGGCCGTGGCCCTGGCATTGGGAACTTCAGAAGCCCCCAAGATGGAGAGATGTTGCTCTCAATAATGACCCAGGGTAATAGTTAATTTTATGTGTCGACTTGACTGGATCACAGGATGCCCAAATATCTGGTTAAATAGTATTTTTGGATGTGCCCTTGGGGGTGTTTCTGGAAGAGATTAACATCTGAATCGGTAGAATGAGTAAAGTTCATTGCCCTCCCCAGGGTGGGTGGGCATCATCTAACCTGTTGGGGGTCTGCATGGAACAAAAAGGTGGATGAAGGGAGGATTTGCGCTCTGCCTCACTGCTGTGCTGGGACGTCAATCTCCCTACTGCTCAGGCCTGCAGGCTCAGACTGGAATCTACACCATCCGCTCGCTGGCTCTTGGGCCTTCAAACTACATCACCAGGCTTCCTGGGTCTCCAGTCTGCAGATGCCAGACCGTGGGAGTTCTCAGCCTCCATAATCCTGTGAGCCAACACTTTCTAATACATCTCTTTCTAGATATCAATATATATTGATACCTATATCTCCTGTTGGTTCTGTTTCTCTCGAGAACCGTAACAGACCCTGACATTCTGCTGATGCTGACTCTGCCCTGCCTTGGCTCTCTGCCACCTGTCCTACCTCATCCTTGTTCCCACCTTCAGCCCCACGGCAGGCCCAGTGGCCTCTCATTACTGTATGTCTCTCACACTCCGGTAGTGTTTTCCTCTCACCTGGGACCCTGGGAATGTGGAGATGTGCTACAGCCCCCATATCCTCATTCAGAACATGCCATTCTGGGGGTGGTTGGTAATCACCCCGTTCTTCACCACCCTTCAGCCAGAAGGACTCTGGGACTTCTGGATGGATCTATAGGGGAGGGGACTTCTCTACTCTTAGATCCCCAAACTTCACATGGGCACATCTCTTGCGACGTTTTCCTGCCTTCTCAGGCATCCTCCCGGCAGGAGCCAGAGACCCGTTTCTAAGTTTTCTTGATTTTTTTTTTTTCTCCTTCAAATCTTGCCTTCCTCTTCAGACTGGAGAAAGGGCCTTTTATCTAGCTGAGCGTGAAAGCAGGGAGAATCTTTTCTTCCTGTTTACATCTGCTTTCACATCTGTTTTATCTTACAACATCAAGGTGCCTTTTAAACTTAAAAGCAAAAGAATTGGTACCAAGACCCAGAGAAGGTGTGTGACTTCACCAAGGACACACAGGTGGCCAGTGAAGAGCCAGGAGCCAGGCAGTTCACACTCATCACCTCACGTCCAGGGTGATTACACCAGCCTCCCTGTCGTTATGCCTTTGTTTCTTCAGCTGCCATCGGGGACCTTTAACTTCCACAGAGACTCTCCACGTGGAGCTCAAAGTGCAGAGCTGAAGCTGGGGGAGAAAATGGAGCCCATGATCAGAGGAAAGAAAATGTTCTCTTTTCCTTTGTTTTCAGCCGTTCTTATACACCTGTGCATGCATGAGCACAAAAGGCATTACTCCCCAGAATCTTCTAGCCGGGTAAACAGTGAACTAAAAAAAAATTTTTTTTGAACATATTTTCAAAATATTAATGAGTTAATCACAGTCTAAAGACAAAACCTCAGTTCTAAAAAAGCAAAACCTCTCTTCTGACAATAAGCGGTCCTGGTGGTATATTATATGTGAAAAATATGACATAAAATATGGATGTACTGATAAAGATTACAGGGGAGATGAAGCTTTGTGGTCACATTAAAAGTAACTACTTAGCATTGTAAATTATTATTCCTTTTATAGTCATCTTAGGTTGTCAGGCTCTAATCAACAATGATGTGAATTCAGCTGTGAGTCAAAGATATTTTTATAACTTACGTTCTTATATATATTCTGGTTTGTTTGAGGCAAAGAATGACATTGGGTAATTCCAGATGTGTCTACACACGGCAAATGGTTTAGGCTGAACAATGCAGCCTAGCTGGAAAAAAAATGCATTTTTTTTTTCTGTTGATACTCTACAAATCCTGAGTATAAGGAAAGAAACGTTATGAACATATCTGGCAGCAGATAAAATTCACATCTTTATGAAATCTCTTGGGAGTCAAAATTCAAGTCTCTAAAAACAGCAATTCTGGAACGAGTTTTTTTGGAACCAAAGATGTTTTTTTGCAGGAAGCTTTGTTAGCCTCACTCCTTGGCCAGAAGCTGTGGGAAGCTGTGGATAGCAGGACGAGGAACAGTCTGGTAAGAAACCTCTTGTGGACTCAGGGACTCCCGTGGTGGTAGCAACTAACAAAGTTAAAGAAATCCTCTGAGCTCGTGAAGAGGGTTTGTGAAAGGTTCACCTCGTTGTTACCAGAGGAAGAGAAGAGACAGACTGTTTACTGTATCTTCATGTGTCAGAGGAATATAACTGGGTCCTTACTACAATGTGTAACATATTCTGGTGTTTTTTTTAAAGCTTTTATTTATTTACTTGAGATAGAGCGAGCAAGAGAGCAGGAGCAGGGGGAGCGGAAGAGGGAGAAGCAGGCTCCCTGCTGAGCCGGGAGCTCAACATGGGACTCGATCCCAGGACCCTGGGATCATGACCTGAGCTGAAGGCAGATGCTTAACCGACTGAGCCACCCAGGTGCCCTGTAATGTATTCTCTTAAGTGTTCCATGTGAATAGTTAATGTTCTCATTGTAATAACTGTAAATGTATCCATGTGCCCATGGGCCCGGATCTGTGTCTTTTCAGTGGTTAATGTTTCCAAACGCTCTCCCTGTGGCATGATCAAGAAATATTAACAAGTGCCGGTGAAAAGAAACATTCTTTATATTAATGATGCTTTTTACAAGTTCAAAGCCTGTTCCTTCAATCTGCACATGGCCCTTAAAAACACTTTTCCCCCTGCTTCAGACATCTTCCAATCAAGAATTAAGTAACTTCAGTGTGAAATGACAGTCGATGTGTTCATGTGCCAATGAGAAATGATAGGTACTTGGATGCTATTGCCAAATTTGGGATCACAATGTGATGGGACAGCAGGGGCTGAGGAACAGCCTGCATAGACTGATGTCCTAGTGGATTTGCAACAGGCCTCTGCCTTCTCCCCCTCATTGTAACAGTCAGAAGGAAATGGGGATTCATTGGTGTTATGGTGGGTGAACCTCTCCAAGGCACCACTGTGAGGAGAATCAATCCCTCTTCATCTGACACTTCTGCAGCCCTGCACCCCCAGCACCCTTCATTTAAGGCCTATCTGCTCAGTCATGGTGGTTCAGCTTCAGCCAACAGGCTCATCCTGTATCCTCTACTTACATTTATTGCAGTGGATTATAATCATCTATTTATACTTCCATCTGTTCCACTAGAACAGGAGCTCAGGAATTCCTTGAGCTTAGGAACTGTGTCTAATTTGTGATTATATCCTTAATACTTAGAACTGAGCCTGGCACACAATAGATGCTCTGAAAATGAGTTTGTAAATTCATTCGTAAATGCATGAATGAGTAGATGGCCATAATGGAACGATCGGGATGCTGTGGATGTGGCAAATCCATCCCTTAGGATGCTTTCAGCTACAGGTAATGGAAAGCCTTGACCAAAGCAGTTTCAGAGTTCACTGACCCAGCATTTTCATGATGGCATGAAGGACCACCCCCCGCCCCCATGGGGTCAGCTCCATCCTGGTTCCTTCGAAGTGGTTGGGTGGTTTCCTGGAAGAAGTAAGTCGGCACGATTCTCTGTTCGAGTTTGGAAAAAGAGAGAGAGAATCAAGAGTCCTTCCCTTCTGCCTGATTGGGCCCAAGAAGCCATGTGCCCACCTGTCAACTGGGGCCTGGGTTCCTGAATCAGTAACTAGCCTGGGGAGTGGGGACTACCGTGACTGATTTAAACTGGTCAAGTCCTGAGCTGAAACAGAGAACAATTCTCCAAACCTCCTTGCTCTTCCACAGTGGCTGAGGGCTGGGGGGCCATCGTGGGATCAGCCACAATGTCTGCCCTGAGGGGTGTAGGTGCCAGTAAAGATTTCGGTACATCCCTGCTTTCTAGATAAAGTGATGGTTGTTGTCACATTTTTCTGATCAGTGCTGGTCTCTTCACAGATACCAAAAAATCTATGTCAAATGTCCACGTTGTATCTCCGCTATGGCACCCACCAAATAAACAAATCCAGGGTTTGCCGTTCTGTAACCATTGTTATTTTGTTCTTAAGTTATGGGGACCCAGAAAGTAGGTTCTACTTTATTAATAGATTGCAGATGAGCTCAAATCCAAGACAAAATGGGGATCTCCTGCTTCTATTCCTCCAACTCCCTCCAGATTTTATTTTATTTATTTTTTATTTTCTTAGAGAGGGAGGGGGGAAGGGCAGAGGGAGAGGAAGAGAGAGAATCTTAAGCAAGCTCCACACCCAGCATGGAGCCTGACTTGGGGCTTGATCTCACAACCCAGAGATCATGACCTGAGCTAAAATCAAGAGTTGGACGCTTAATCAACTGAGCCACCCAGGCGCCCCATCCCTCCAGATTTTAAATTTCAGATGGAGCATACTGGGATGAGGAGGTCAGGAGCAAGTTCAAGACAACAAGCCAATTCTGCAGAGAAAGTTACTTTCAGCTCCATGCAAGGAGAAGATAGAAAATAAATGGAATGAACAGGGCTGGACTGCCCCCAGGATCCAGGCCCTGCCCAGGTCTGAGACAAGAAACACAGGAAGGAAGAGCTTGGACACTTGCCTTTGGGACACAGTAACTCTACCCATTGGTAATGAACCAAATGAATGAACCAAACAACCAATAGTAATTTCTCCTTCGTTACGGGGTGGGACACTGAAGTCCTGGGATTAAAAGTTCTCCCTCTCACTGTATCTGGGAGATATTACCGGTTCACTACTATTTACAAGGCACTTACAAGGGCTTATACTCACAAGCACTTTCTTGTTTTTCCTCTGCCTTATTCTGTGTGCAGGGACTATTACTGCCCATTTTACAGATGAGGAGACTGAGATCCAGGACCAACCCAGATCTATTGGTGCCACAGCACATGCTCTTATGTCACTAGGCTCTGAAGAAGAAACACAAATTCTCTAAATTTGGGGGTAAGTGCTCAATATTAACCAAGGGAGGAAATGCACAACAAAGGTTAGCTTGTCTAGAAGCTCGTTCCTCAAGGTGTGTTCCATGGACCAGCGGTATCGGTGTCACCTGAGCCCTTGTTAGAAATGAATTTCACATCCGACCCCAGACCTAGTCGATCAGAATCGGAATCTTAACAAGGTCCCAGGAGATGCGAAAGCACGTTCAAGTGTGAGAGGACTTGCCATCTGGGACGTTCGGAAGACTGGAGATCAGGAGTGGGAGCCTGAGGGCCAGGGTGTACCACAAGGATAATGTGTGGGTGGACTTGGAGATGAGGAGGTAACAGGATGCTTTCAGGGGCGGGGAGGGTGTCAGCAATAAGAACTAGACAGTCTCGGGCGCCTGGGTGGCTCAGTTGGTTAAGCGACTGCCTTCGGCTCAGGTCATGATCCTGGAGTCCCGGGATCGAGTCCCGCGTCGGGCTCCCTGCTCGGCGGGGAGTCTGCTTCTCCCTCTGACCCTCCCCCCTCTCATGTACTCTCTCTCTCTCATTCTCTCTCTCAAATAAATAAAATCTTTAAAAAAAAAAAAAAAAAGAACTAGACAGTCTCACAGCCCAGATGATAGTCTCCTATATTAGCATCTGCCTCTCTGTCCGGAAACTTCCCTGTTGTCTAGACTAATAAAGCACTCCCTGGAAGATGGCTCTTGACATATTTTTGTTGGTATAGGGTTGGCAGGTCAAGTTTCCAGGGCTCCTCTGGCCGGCACCTTGCTCATGCAAAGTCTGTTACTGTGATTGGAAAAACACTCGCAAACTGCAGGTTAAACTCCAGGCAACAGCTAAAAAGATTTTTATCTTTTCTTCTTTCATCTCTCACATAAAAGGAGAGGCAGGACTATTTCCTCCTACAGAAATGGTAATGAGGAAGACCTGGCTTTACCTTTTCCCAAATTAAAAGACCGGGGCTGGAGAACTGCCTACCCTCACCAATTTTATTTCTGTCTCAGTTTGGGATTGATACGTGCCTCAAAAGGTTGTGTTGGGATGAAATAGGTTTTGAAGGACACTACGTCTCTTTTCAGGAAAACAAAAGCAATCCGATCCCAGAGTGTCAAGTGTGCAAAGCATGCAAAGCTCCGTACCAACCATAGACATGAAAGCTTCCAAGACAATTGGATTTTAATCATTGCTCTGTAAAGCTTGCTGAAGGATCTGGTTAGGGAGGGACCCACCATAAACCAGGGAACCCAAAGCAACAGAGAGAGTAATCATTTCGTGAGTTCACGCAACGAATTAGGTTTCATTTTTGTGGCTTCACAAAAACTCTCCAGAAAAGACAGATTTCTAAAAATCAACATTTCCTCCTCCATAAAAAGCCTTTATTTCAGCTTTTACAACACTCTTTGCTCTTCTGTGCTTTGCCCTGAAATCTTATAAAACCAAGATTTGGCTCTTTTATAATTCATGGCATGTGATGCTTGTGGTCCTTGAATTTTCTTAAGAAAAATAAAGTGATTATACAGTTCCGTTCTATAGCACGGGACAGAGAGTCTATTTTCCTGTGAAAGGCTAGGATTTAGACCTCTCCTGATAAAGTCAGGTACTCACAAGCTGCGGTCTCAGAGCCAAGTCTGACAAAGAAATACAGTCGAGTGTCACGTTTTTTTTTTTTAAAACTGGTTGAGAGACCAGACTAAATCAATAAAAAGTTTGCATTTATAGGCTCCACGTTAAAGAAATACTATTTTTATTGCCTTCCAGCACATATAAACTCAAGTTAGGCTAATGAAGTGGTGTTTGCTAACAATCCTTCAAGGACTCGTTTTAGCAAATAAACAAAGATGTAGTAGAATTATCACAGCTCACTCACTAGTATTCTGCAGTGTCTCTGATTTATCATTAATTCATTGACACCTCTGGTTTATTTCTATTTCCTAATAACCCGGCTTCTCCAGGAGCACATTTCTCAAGTCTATTCGCTGAAGTGATTTAAAAATTCTCCACTTAATTTTTGTTGCACTGTTAATTTGCTTACTAAAGCATGCTTTTGACCTCACCACTTTCTAGTCAAGGTTTGGAAAGACTCTAAGCTTAAGAGGAGTCTGCGGCTAAGTGATCTGTAACTCTGATCTGATGATGGCCTTCAGTCAGGTGTGGTTTCATGGAGGAAAAAAATTAAAAGACCGGGGCTGGAGAACTGCCTACCCTCACCGATTTTATTTCTGCCTCAGTTTGGGATTGATACGTGCCTCAAAAGGTTGTGTTGGGATGAAATAGGTTTTAAGTATGTGAAATTGCTCTTTATAAACAGAAAAGCACTATTCAAATGTTGGGTATTACTGCTATTTTGAAATCTGATTACTGAAGCCCAAGTTAATGAGATTTTTTTTTCCTGTATGAAAAGAACTCGTTCAGTCGGATTTTCTTCCAGGGTGAATCATTCCTTGTGAGTAAGGAAGCTGATTCAAAGTCCTCTACCATTTTCAGGTCTCTAGAGTGATACCCTGTTTGCAAAGTGCCATTCAGGTTTAGAAAAACAAACTCACCTCTCCCGGGGGATCCAGTGAATGTCTGTCTCCTCACAAAAGCCTGGTATGATAACTTCATCTGCTACGTCTCTGACTCTTCTGATTGACCAGAGCCTGCAATTAGATGAAATTCAACAATTACCGAAAACCCTTGAGAGAAAAGACCACTTTGCTGGGTGCCAAGGTAAGGAGTGACAAGGTGGTGGGATCCCAGGCAGAGAAAGGGATGAAGGGGCAGATCCAACAGTGTGCACCTGCCCCGTGCCCGGAAGTTCATGATCTGGGGAAAGACACACACTGGACATTCACATCCTGGGAGGCAAGTAGCAGTAAGGGCAGATGAGATTCTAGCCAAGTCTTGAAAACATGTGGAATGTGGGGAAGAGGTTAGATTTATAATTAGATCCAGTCTAATGAGCTTTGGGGTGGGTTGAGAGGACACAAGGTCGACTTAGGAAGTTGAAACATGGGGTGTACTGTGGGATGGACTGTTGAAGAAGTAGAAATCTGCACCCCTAGCTGAGGTGTGCAAAATATCACACTTCTTTACTCGGCAGACATCAACTTAACCCAGACTGGGTTTGCCACCCAGCAGGTGGGAAATCCCATGTCGGCCATGACAGGGTGCCCTCCCCCATCCTCAGGTTACATGGAAGTGTGGGGTGCTTGTGGGTGCCACCCATATTAGGGCAGAAACCTCTATGCTCTACAGGACCAGAGTCATCACTGAGGTCTTCATGGTTGAAGCCTGGGCGTCACGTAAGTACTTTCCACTTTCTCTTTGAGAGTGAGAAGCAGGCATCTTTGTCTTCCCTGGGCACCTGCTGGTCCAGCCTCTCTGGGTGTGCCATGCAGCCACACATAGTCCTGACACCCCTCACCTTCCTGGGAACTTAGCTGAGGAGCAACCACTCCCAGGGCTTCTATCAGCTCTCCACTTTGGGGGAATAAACTCCCTCTCCCCTCTTGCTACCTTCAAAGGCAGACCTTTCGTCCTCATCCTGCCTCAGGACCCCTCATATAATTATATTCGTCAGCTCAGGCTGATGTAACAAAATGCCATAGACTAGGGGGCTTAAACAACGTACATTTATTTTTCTCACAGTTCTGGAGGCTGGGAAGTCCAAGATGAAGGTGCTGGAATATTTGGTTCTTGGTGGGAGCCCTCTTCCTGGCCTGTGGACAGCTGCTTTCTGTGCCCTCAGTGTGTGTGTTTAGAGAGAGAGAGACAGCTCTTGTCTCTTCTTTTTTTTTTTATTTAAAAAAGATTTTATTTATTTATTTGAGAGAGAGTAGAGAGAGAGAGCACGCACCAGCAGGCGGGAAGGGCAGAGAGAAGCAGGCTCCCCACTGAGCAGGGACCCCGATGTGGGGCTGGATCCCAGGACCCCGGGATCATGACCTGAGCTGAAGGCAGATGCTTAACAACTGAGCCACCCAGGTGCCCCTTTCTTCCTCTTCTTATAAGGGCACTAATCCCATCATGAGGGCCCCACCCTCGTGACCACATCTAAATCTAATTAACTCCCAAAGGCCCTACCTCCAAACACTATCATTTTGGGGATTGGGTCTTCAACATATGAATTTCAGTCCATACCAATATGCAATAAAGTCAGGGTTTTGCAAATGGCAGGACTGTTGCTGGCACTGGAAGGAATGGCAAGGGCCCAGCTCCCTGTTTGAAACAGGGGTGGCAGGGTGGAAATAAAGAGAACAAAACTCAAAGTAATAATGTCTCAGGAAATAAATCGGCCGTGTATCTTATAGCTTTTCTTGTATGGCTGTATTTCACTGTTTTTCAATTCTTTATTTGAATCGATTTTTCAACTCAACTGTACTGTATATATCATAAAGCCGATAAATAGGTTTTACATCTTTTATTCTCTGTGGCTCTTAAGCAAATGGTATGATCAGAGAAAGCACTTATGAATATTTGCTGAGTGACCAGAAATGAATATTCTCTCGGACTGCCCAGCATATGACCAACGGCCAACGCTGCATGGAGAAGAGTCTGATTCTCATAACATTACCGCCTGTTGTCTAAACACACACACACACACACACACACCAAAGAACACATAAATAAATAAGAACTTCAAAGTCACAGGAGAGTTTCTCATTTTATATGCTATTTCCTTTTTAGTATTAGAGGATGCAGAAATTCATACTTCCTATCACCACAAAAAGGTTCTAATTTGTTATGTGGCCTTCACACAGGAAACTGACCCACCAGGAAAGTTATCAGATATTGCAGAAAGACCATGTCCCTTAAAGCCACATTTCCAAAGATGGCTGTGATTAGGAGCCGAGAAGAGCAGTAAATTGGATGACTTTCTTACCCTTCTGACCAAGCAGAGCTATGAGGCCTCCTTCTCCATCACACAGGCACACCCAGATCTATAGCGACGTACATAGGCTGACTAGAATCCTCCGTGGTGATTGTCTGAGTCTCCTAAGGCCCCGGGAAAAAATCACCACAAATGTGGTGAATTAAAACAGCAGAGTTGTATTCTCTCATGCTTTCAGAGGCCAGTAATCTGAAATTAGTGGACCAAAATCAAGGTGTCATAGGGCCCTCTCCTTCCAGAGGCTCTAGGCTCTGTCCCTTACCCCTTTTAGTTCTTGGTGGCTCTGCTATTCCTTGGTGGGGTTGCATCACTCCACTCCTCAAGGCCAACATCTGGAAATCTGTTCCTGCTCTGTTTTCACATCACTTTCTCCTCTGCATGTGTCAAATCTATTTCTGCCTCCCTCTCATAAAAAATACATATGACTGCATTTAGGGCTACTTGGATAATCCAGGATAATAATCTCCCCAACTCAAGATCCTTAATTTAATCACACCTGCAAAGCCCCTTTTCATGCCATATAAGCGAATTCTCATAGGTTCCATGGATTAGGGCATGGATATCTCATGGGGGCCACTTTCCAGCCTACTATCAAGATGTTCTCATGACCCCCTATTTTAATTATTAATGGGGTGATTATCTAGTGTGTACATTATTTGGGCTTCTGCTTTTTTTTCTCCATTTTTCTTTGGCCTTTGGCCACATGACTCTAGGAGCTGGGAGATGAAACTCAGAGAAATCAACCTAACAATTACCAACTCTGGGTAAAAGACTGATGAGGAATTTCATTAATTGACTAAAGGAAAATAATATTACCTGGGATTTGTTTATTCCTTGCCCAATTGAGCTCAGATAATCAAGGATCAATGATATATGGTAGAGTAGAGAACCCAGAGGTAAAACAAATAAATCCTTCATTTCCTTTTTTTATTTTCTGTAGACTTTTATCTTGTTAGTTTAGCAAATTGCAAATTAATGATCTGTGAAGAAGTAGATTGTGAATTACTGATCTAAGGGCTTCTTTCTGTTTCTGACTGTTTACTCTGGATTTACTTCAACCAGTCACTTAACTGCACGGTGAGAAGTTTGAAAAATGAAAACAATGATTATATTTATTTTCTTTGTATTACATTAGGATTCTTTAAAGATAATGGATGTAATGATTTGGATTTGTTTCGTACAAAAGCTCCAGAGAACATGCTAAGTGCTTTTGTGTTTCTACTGAAATATTTAAAACCGGGGGTTTAAATATTGGTAAATTCATCCATTCTTTTATCTGTTTATTGATCAACTACTTACCCAGTGCAAGCCATGTATCTGGGGCTATTCTGGTTGCTGGGTACCTTAAAAGCCAGAGTGTGCCTTGTGGTACTCTTAAAGCATAGTTTAAACACTGGGAGAAGCTAACTTAATTACTGTAAGTTGGTTTGCCCTTCTAAGAAGAAAGGTGTGAGGGAGATCTGAGTCAATATTGGCTCTCACTTGCCCCTCTGAATCTCAGGCAGCATTAACAATGGTGTACCGAGGATAGCATGGCTTCTTTCCAGTTCCTTCCAGCCTGGCCGCACCAGAAAATAGCTCTAGGGCTGCCATGCCCAGCCATCTAGGATGGAGGCTAGAGGGCATGCCTTTGGAGTGTTTACATTTATGTTTCGACAACCCCACATGAAATCAAGATCTGGTCAATTAACCAGTTGATTGAATCAATGAAGATAGCCAATCAAAATCACCCTAATTCTGGAAAAGGCTTTTTTTTTTTCTGCCTAAATAATCCACCTTAGCAGACTAGTATGTCAATCAAGTGAATAATGATCATTCTCAAGTTATCAGTTTAATTAATTTAGTTAATGAGAGAGATAGTAAATAATAAATGTGATTTAATGCTATGTAGACACAAACTCACATCCTGGATAGATGTAGACTCCCCTTCTTTTCTTCCTCCATCATGACCCCACTTTGTATACTTACTATTTTTGTTATAAATAAATGTCTTTATTAGAATTAAATGTCCATTTCCCTCTATATTAAAAGTCTTTATTTATACTGCAGTCTACATTAGGATGGTTGAGTTTCTTAACTGCTTTGGTATGTACTAAAAACAAGAAGCAAATGAATGTAACTTTAAAAACACAATAGAGCTAGCCATTGAGAGGAAGGTTAGGAATGACATCTCACCCTCCTGCTCGTGAGAGTGTGTCTGGCCAGAAAACAAGAACCCTCTCCTTCTTTTTAGAATGACTGGCTAATTGGTGGGGGAGAGGCAAGGCTGCCTATTAATTCACTCTTTTCTTCCCTATTTAAAAAATGTGACTATCATATTTAACTTCAGCATAATTTTCAAGTATCAGGACAAAAATACTAAGGCACCACCTTGACATTTGCACAATTCAAACATCCAAAAGATTTATTTATTTATTTTAGAGAGAGAGAGAAAGGGAGAGAGCAAGTGGGGGGAGGTGCAGAGGGAGCAGGAGAGAAGCAGACTCCCCGCTGAGCATGGAACCCGACACGGGGCTCGATCCCACAACCCATGAGATCATGACCTGAGCCGAAATCAAGAGTCAGACACTTAACCGATGGAGCCACCCAGACACCCCTCTCTCTACTTTTTACCAAGACTTTTATATTCTCAAAAATAGGGGGGATCGGCTTTTACCTATTTGCTCACGTGTGTTTAAGAAAACCATTGAGTACAAATATGTATTCACTGGGACACTCTGTCAGTTCCCAGTGTCTGGTGGTCTTCTTTTCCTTCCTCCCCAGGTGATAGTTTTATTATTTAGCTCAACTCTGTTGGATGGAGGCTGTCCAGGTGACATGGCCGGACTGG